GAAGGCTGGACCACACTGTCTCCCTTCCCTTTCTGTAACATTACCATTCTCGCCCTTTCTTTTGGAAACCTGGGTCCTTCTTGGTGGGACGGAGACCTGGAGAGTATGGCCAGGACCCTCAAGGGTGAACAAACACCTTATACACTCTTGTTCCTTGTTGCCTCCACCCACACACAGGGAGCGTCTGGAGCAGGAGGAGGCTCTGGCTTCTACCTTTACCACCATGCCCTGGCAAAGGCATGGTTGACTGACTGTGAATACGCCAAGCACCCATCCAGTGCCTGGCAGTCACAGGACCCGTGCTAACAGGAAACTTACGGTCAGGGGTGAGGCGGGTGTGGCTGCTGTTGCCGTAAGAGCCGCTGTAGGAGTGGGCCTGGTGCACCGACTCATCCACGACGGCGGCCATCCAGATGGCTAGGTTGGTGGTGAGGGTGAACATGAGCCCACACCTGCATCCGAGTGATGGATGAGGAGAATAAAAGGCTCGTCAGTCTTGGACTCACTATGGGTCCCTGGCAAAGCAAGACAGGGTCGGGAGCCTCCTTAGAGATGGAGTTACAAAACGAGAAGGGCAGATGGACGGACCCCCGTGAACATGGGTATTGAACTTGGAAGCCAGACTCGGCCTGGTGGGATGCCAGATAAGAGAGGGCCAGCAGGTGTCCTGAGGCTCAGGCCCCACTACGGGAAAGGGCACAGTCCAGGCAGTGGGAAGTAAGGAGAAAGAGGAAGAGGTGGCTGACACCCCACCCAAGACTGAGAGGGAAGAGCCGCACCCAGGACGATAGGCTTCCTCTCTCATGCCAGGTGAGCCCTTGGCCCACAGACCCTGAGCTGTGGTTCTTACCGGGTCAGGTCCAGGTGGATGTGAATACAGTCTTTAGCAGAGACCCAGAGGAAGTAAGTCTAGAGAGAGGAGGGGAGAGGCTCAGTACCATGCACAAGAGCTGATCTCCAGAGTCCAGTGCCCAACCACACCCACTACGGCATTTGTTCTATTCCAAGAACTCTTAGACTAATCAAGTTTATTTTAGTGTTACGAAAGGAGAAGGAATAATTTCTCTTTCTACTCTATACTCCAGCTTGTTTTAAAAAAAATAGTAGCTCTCTGATCCTTAAAACTTGGGGAAATGTCAGATATTTTCATCTTGATGAGATTTGAGGGGGGAGCCAGGGTGGTAGAGGGGCAAGTGGAGTCTTGGCTACAAAGTGATGTTTTTCTGGGAGCAAGGTCAGGCTCATACTAGACCTTGCTCAAGATCTCAAGGTAAAAAAAAAAAAAAAAAGGTCTTTGGGGTTTTATTGTTGTTGTTGAGACAGGGTCTCTGTGCAGCTCTGGCTGACCTGGAACTCCATATGTAGACCAAGCTGGTCTCGGACTCACGGTTATTTGTCTGCCTCTGCTTCCCAAGGGCTAGTCTTGAACTCATTATGCATCAAGAAGTGACTTTGAACTCCTGACTGCCCGGTTGGCACCTCTGGCCTCTTTGTTCACATCCCCTGCTGTCCTCTTCCTTTGTGGATTTGAAAGGCCTTGCCCTCATCCTAATGCCACTGAATCCCTGCCATGGGACTTACCTAGATGGAGATGTTTCATTTTTTCAAACTTATGAAATGTAAAAAGCTAAAGCAACTTTGTGTTCCAGCCACATGTGTGCAGCACTGTGGACGTCTGGGTGGCAGCGGATGCTTCAAGGCATGGCACCATCCCCTGGTCATCTTGCTAATGCTACGAGGTGAGCTTATCTTCTGGTCCCATGCAAGAGCACTCCTGCCCCAACTCAGTCAGCTCTTTCAAAAGGATCTTTATGCAACACATTAAAACAAAAAAGCTAGTGAGCCAGGTGTGGCACACTCCTGAAATTCCCGGACTCGGGAGGTGGACGCGGGAGTTCAAGGCTGGTCTGGGCTGTGTGAAGTGAGTCAGAAGAGGACAAAGAAAAGAAAGTGATTGGAACTTGTCTGAAAAATCATCCTTACAGGATGCCCTGCCTCCTAAACAAACATCAGGTATGGAGCTATGACCGAGATTAAACAAGTCGTCGCTATGGTCATGGTCACAGCACAACCCTAGGCAGAGTCTGATGTCCTCCGTGGACACCCAAGGTTCTACCAGACAGGGCCTGCTGTCACAACTCTCACCTCCTAGGTGTTAATTACTGGCACCACTTAGGTTGAAATGAAGTTGCAGCACCCCTAAGTAGGAACTCACATTTAGACACACTTCATGAGTCAGTGTTTCCTCGTTTATGAACTCATATGATCCCTACCACAGTCTGACTCGGTTTACCGAATTATTCAGGGCTAGGGGTTGGTTTGTGTGAAGCTCAGATCTCCTGAGCTCCTGCCAAGCATCAGGCTCTTCCCCCTATGGGGACATTCCTTCAACCCACCTGGACAATGACAAACACAGCTTGGATGATGGGGTGCAGGATCTTGATGGCCGACTGGCACTCCAAGAAACTGGAGTAGTAACCAGTCTTGAAGACATCCATGACAAGGGTGCAAATTCCAAACAGCACGAGCCCACCTGAGAATCAGGGTCAGCAGGGGAGCAGTGTATCAGGGAGGCAGAAGAGAGGGCTTGTAGGGTAGAGAACGGTTCTGAAGGTGAGGGGTTAGTTGGGGGTGTGTGGAGAGAATAGGGAGATGATTGGGTGGGAGACTGGATGGGTGGGGAGGTTGGGAGGATGAGTGAATGGGTGGATGGATGGACGAATGGATGGGCTGAGAGATTACTGGGTGGATGGAGGAGGGCATGAGCAGGCAGATGGATGGAGAAACGAATGGAGAGGGTGAGGGACAGAGAAATAGAGGATGGGTAGGAATATGGGAAAACTGAAGGGCTGGGAGGTGAAGAGGTGGGTGGGAGATGAGGGGGAAGAGGGAGGGCATCCTGTGTCTCCTCCGTTGCACAGCCAAGGGGACAGCTGGGGACAGACCTTGTCACTGCTATTGTCTTTTACTTTTTCTGGTCTGCATACAAAGACTCTGAACGACCATCTCTGTCCAATCTTTAGACAAGCCAAAGAAGCTTCCTCCACCTCTGGATAGCCTCTAGGACCCGTTTCCCTCTCTCCACCCCCTCACTGCATCCGACCCCAATGCGCTTTCAGCCATATCACCCTTGCGAGGGAACTTTCAGCAAACCTGTCTACCCAAAGTCACACCCTGAGGTCCTCCAGGAGTCCCAGACTGCAAAACTTCCCACCGTGCCCACCCCACTCTTGTCTTCATATCCCAGGGCACCTCGGAGCCAGATGGGGCCGGCGTGCTCATCCCGGTAGGGTACCGCATCCGGACAGCGCGCAGTGCGGAGGAGGTAGAAGATGATCCACAGCGCGGCCAGTAGCATCATGGTGGTGAGCAGCGCGAACACGTCGGTGTCATACACGGCCACCTTGTTGAAGGCACCACCGCTGATGAGCGTGGAGGCGAGCAGCAGCACGTTGACAGCCAACAGCACCGACAGCAGGCGGCCACCCTTTTTCCACACCTCGCGGGGGCTGGCCCGTGGCCCCGGCAGGCTCTCCTTGGGGTGCTGGACCAGTTCCTCCGACATGGTGGGGGCGACTGGAGGAGGTTGAAGGGATCACTGCGGGGTCGAGGGGGAGGGGAAGGACGGGATTCCAGGTGAACTCAAGGGGCTCTCCTTTCCTCCTGGAATGGATTTGGGGACCCTGGGATGTGGGGACTAAGGGTGCTAGACCGAGCCCTGGGGAAGAAGAAGAGAAAAACTGAAGAGTGAACCTCTCCCACCTGGACCGGAAATATTGTACTGAAAGAAGCGATAGCACTAGGCCGGTCCCGCACAAGGTTTTGCTCCCCAAATCCTACAGTCCCCTGGTCAGGGGCACGCACCTGGCTGCACTGGTAGCCGTCAGCAAGTTGGGGGTCAAGGGGCAGCAAGCGTCTCCTCTCTCCCACGCCGGTCTGGACCAGTGCTTTATACCGGAGAGGGCAGAGTGATTTACAGCCACAAGAGCCCGGCTCCATAAACCTCTCAGTCCCACTCACATGATCCATCTTTTCTCCGAGCTGAATTTAGGGAAGTCAGATAAGGTGAGATTTATATTTACCTGTTAAGATCCCCTTACCCTGTCGCGCTGGCGCGGCCAGGGTTCAGTAGCGGCCCCATTCTGCGGTACCTAGAGGATCCTCCACCCCCAACACCCACTGCAACCTGGTACTAAGAGATCACACCCACCCAAAGCCTGCAGAGCGGACTCCCACCCCAGTGCCCGCCTGCACCTAGATGCCGTCGCAGCTCAGAAGTCACCTATATCTTGGATCTTGCTTGCTGCCCCGGGATCGGGACAACAGTTCCCCCTTTCCCCACCTGCCCTCAGAGTGATCCAAGTTCGGTCTTCCTGTATCTCTTACTACTGCGGCCCAGAGATGCTTGTTGGATGCTGCAAAGTCTGGTTCTCACGGGGTGCCCGCAGCCGGCTTGTAGTCCTTTAGCTCCCCCTGCTGGAGAGCCGTTGTCCGACCCCGCGCGAGTAGGCTAACTCTGGAGACACTCACTGCTGCGCCCTGCTCGAGGATTGTCTTGCAGTGAGTGGGTCCTCCTGCTCCTCTAGGCCCACTGTCCTCCGGATCAGAACTGCCTTTCCATTCCACCCTCAGACACCATTCTCCAATCCTTAGCACGTTCCTTTTGACGGGTGAAGAAATCAGGGAGTCCAGCGCCCGGAGCTCTGTCGAGGACATCCTAAATTGTCCTCAATACTGAGCTTCAAGAGGCGCAACGCCAGAGTAGAAGCTTTTGACGCGAGAGAGCTGGACTTCAACTGAATCACCCCTGTGTGCTGAAAAGCAGGGCGTTTAGGACCCAGGGGAAGCTCCTGGGCGGCTCTTGGGCAGTGAGAGATTTCCCCCCTCCCTCTCCTGGTGCGCGGCTCAGATGTCCCAGTAGTCTGTAGTCCTCTGTAGTCGTGGCTCTGGCGCCCCGCATCCTCCATCTGCGCCAGCAGGGGCTGGTGGAACAGGTTCCTGCCCAGCCCCTTCCCTCAAACCCATGTTTCAGTCCTAACCTGGCTGCCCTCCCCGTCGGGGGCACATTTCTCGGTGCCCCTTGCACAACCCGTCTAACTCGGGCGCCATGAATGACCAGTATCACCGGGCCGCCAGGGATGGCTACTTGGAGCTCCTCAAGGAGGCCACCCGGAAGGAACTGAATGCCCCTGACGAGGATGGCATGACTCCCACCCTCTGGGCTGCCTATCATGGCAACCTGGAGTCTCTGCGCCTCATTGTAAGCCGAGGGTGAGTATACTCTGCCCAACCAGCAGGGAACCATAAGAACCCCGTGTCCCAAACCTCATGGCATCTCTTACCCTCTCCCCTGAGGTGCCCTCTTCCCGTATGGATAGCCCCTAAGGTGAGACCGTGTAGCCTGCCATACTTTGAGAGACACGCGTGGAGGGGAAATCAACCGAGGCTGATGACACTTGTGAACTGTGTGTAGGGCTTAGAGGGGAGGAACTGCGATGTGACTGGGGGAGGGGGGAGGTGGCTGCAGAATGACTCAAAACTTAAAGACAATTCTGAGGCACCTGAATGCAAGAATTAAGGGGGGGGGGAACCAGAGAGAAGGCTGAGAAGTCTCCAAGGCCCTAGAAGTGGGGACCAGAAAGGAGAGACCTTCACTGCCTATTATCCAACCTAGGCGTCAAAGGGCTGTCCCCACAGCACCAGATGCTCCCAAAGGACGAGTCTCACACTGACCTGTGCCTTCTCACCACGCCACTCCTGAGATTTATGGGCACTGTCCGCACAACCAAATGTCACTGGTTCAGCCAGTGATTAACTCTCTGCACCCCTCCCCCACTGCAGGACAGGAAAGTGGGAAGCCATGTATGCAGGGAGGGCATCTGCTCCCATCATCCCTCTGGAGTTGTCCTGGGAGGGAGGGTCAGCACAGAGAACCTGGAGGGGTCAGGTAATGTAGGATCCAGGGTCCCTAAAGTGGGTTGGGGGAAAGGGATTAAGTCACATTGTCGGAACTATCCTAGCATCAACAGTTTGGTGGGGCTGGTCTGGATACTGGTGTGATCTGGGCAGGAGGAGGATGCCCCCAGAGGGTTCACGTCAATGTCTCAGGTTCTAGGGGTCAAGGACCGGGGCAGGGATTGCGTTGACCCTGGTACTTGGAGTGTCTGAATATGTGGGGAAAGGTTTCAGTCTCCCTCTGGCAGCCCCTTGGGTCTAGCAGCAGGTGGAGACAGTCTGGGATCAGACAGCCTAGGCTCTCTGGGAGGGCACACAGAGGTACTAGACCCCCTGCACATCCGTCAGAGATACTCATGGAAGTCTCACACAGGGGTCTGAAGGGAAAGAGGGCTTGCCATTGGCTCTCCAAAACCCTCGAGTTCTACAGAGGCAAGGATTTGTGCTTGATGAGGGAGGGTCTGTTGCCGAGCAACGCTTCGGCACACTATCCTACAGGACTTGGCAAGCAGAGGGGGAAGCTTAAGTGGGGATGGGAGCAGGGGTGGAGGTGCTGGGAGGTGTTGAAACAAGGGAGTGATTCTTTCCCCAGCTCTGGGCTGGCCTTGTGGCCTCATTAGTGTCGGTCAGGACCCGGTGCTCAGACCAGAAAGAGAGTCAAGATTCCTAGAGAAGGCAGCAGGAGCTGGACTATGGGCCGGAGTCAGACCCGGAGGGCATTAGAGAGGGCTTCTGGAGGGGGCCAGGCCACCGGCTTCAAAGGGCAGCTTGAACAAGGGAGAGCAGCACAGTCAGGTCGCGGGCCTTCTTGCTCTCCAGTTCTGGCTGTCCCCACAGTCCCCTTCTGGCCCAGGCCAAGACCCGACACCTGCTCTAACACTGGCGTTGCCAGGCCTGGCCCCGCTCCCTGCAGACATGGTGGTGCCCACTGCATGCCAGCGCGCACCCTCTCATGCTCTTCCAAGTTTAAGCCCGGCACACACCACCCTCTAGTTCTCTTATTCAGTCACCCTGTAACGTGTGGCTTCACAAACTACCTCACCCGCTTAGAGACCCAGACTCAGCCCTGGCCCACCACCTCTCTGGACCAGCTCCCCGCAGGGTCCATGAATAATTCACTCCTTTCTTTCAGCGCATCAAATATTTATCCCCTGAGATTCCCAGCCCTCTGTTCTCTAGGGGAAGGCCCGCCCCACCCCGCCTCCTAGGTAGCCCCGCCCCTTTGTGGGTTAGGCCATTTCCCCATACTCCTGCTTTGTGCTCAATCCCGAAAGTCTGTTAGCTCATCTCCTGGGAATCTAGGTCTCGGCCATATGCGTTTCTTTAGGGCAGTGGTTCTCAACCTTCCTAATGCTGCGACCCTTTAATACAGTTCTTCATATTCTGGTGACCCCCCCCATCATAAACTTCGTTGCTACCTCATAACTGTAATTTTGCTACTGTTATGAATTGTAATGCAAATATCTGATATGCGGGATACCTGATATGTGACCCTGTTGGGATCGCGACTCACAGACTGGGAACCACTGCCTTAGGGGGTGCTGTGCCGCAGGAAGCTCACAATGTTTTTGGGCTTCCCTTTCTTTTTCTGATTTCCCCCAACCCTGATTCCTTATACCTCCAACCCAAGCCCACAATCTGGCTTGCTAAAAGGACTCATCCTTTCTTTCCCCTACAGGGGTGACCCGGATAAGTGTGACATCTGGGGAAACACACCCTTGCATCTGGCAGCTTCTAATGGCCACCTACACTGCCTGTCCTTCCTTGTATCCTTCGGAGCCAACATCTGGTGCCTGGACAATGACTACCACACGCCTTTGGACATGGCTGCTATGAAAGGTCACATGGAGTGCGTGCGCTATCTGGACTCCATCGCAGCCAAGCAGAGTAGCCTCAACCCCAAGCTGGTGGGCAAACTGAAGGACAAGGCCTTTCGCGAGGCGGAGCGGCGTATCCGCGAGTGCGCCAAGATGCAGCGCAAACACCATGAGCGCATGGAGCGGCGCTACCGGCGAGAGCTGGCCGAACGCTCCGACACGCTCAGCTTCTCCAGCCTCACGTCCAGCACCCTGAGCCGCCGGTTGCAGCACCTGACGCTGGGCAGCCAGCTGCCCTACTCGCAGGCCACGCTGCACGGTACGGCCAAGGGCAAGGCCAAGATCCAGAAGAAGCTGGAGAGGCGCAAGCAGGGGGGCGAGGGCACCTTCAAGGTCTCCGAGGACGGGCGCAAAAGCGTCCGATCGCTCTCGGGTCTGCAGCTGGGCAGCGATGTGATGTTTGTGCGCCAGGGCACTTACGCCAACCCCAAAGAGTGGGGCCGTGCCCCACTCAGGGACATGTTCCTCTCGGATGAGGACAGTGTCTCCCGTGCCACACTGGCTGCCGAGCCTGCCCACTCGGAGGTCAGCACCGATTCAGGCCACGATTCCTTGTTTACTCGCCCCGGCTTGGGTACCATGGTATTTCGAAGGAACTATTTGAGCAGCGGGCTGCACGGGCTGGGCCGCGAGGACGGTGGCTTGGATGGGACAGGGACGCGGGGTCGGCTGCAGAGTTCCCCCAGCCTGGACGATGACAGCCTGGGCAGTGCCAACAGCTTGCAGGACCGCAGTTGCGGGGAGGAGTTGCCCTGGGATGAGCTAGACTTGGGCTTGGATGAGGATCTGGAGCCTGAGACTAGCCCCTTGGAGACCTTCCTGGCTTCCCTGTACTTGGAGGACTTTGCCTCCCTCCTACGGCAGGAGAAAATTGACCTGGAGGCTCTGATGCTGTGCTCTGACCTCGACCTCCGCAGCATCAGTGTGCCCCTGGGGCCTCGGAAGAAGATTCTAGGGGCCGTGAGGAGGCGCAGGCAGGCTCTGGAGCGTCCCCCGGCGCTGGAGGACACAGAGTTGTGAGTGCCTA